CGGTGTATAACCCCAATCCCAAACTCTTAGGGTTTAGGGTTTAGGGTTTAGGGTTCTATCCGTATAATCTGCGGAGTTCGAAACCGTTCTAAACCCCAAACTCCCGACACCTTCGATCTTGGGGAGCCTACCCTAAACCCTAAACCCTAAACCCCAAACCCAAAACCCGAAACTCTAAACCCTAAGCCCTAAAACGTTGACAACCGCCACTTGCCAGGACGAGGACCTGGTGCGGAGTCCTAGTTTTCGAGACTGCGTTCATGGGGTCTTGGATTTAGGGTGTAGGGATTTGGGTTTTGGGTGTGGGGTTTAGGGGTTTGGGTCTAGGAATGATTTACGGTTAGGGTTTAGGATCAAGGAAAAGCTTCCGGATGAAGGATTTACGAATTTAGGGCCGTAGGATTCAGGATTCGGAGAAGATCTCGCGTGCGATTTTGGTTCGGCGGTGCAGCTCCGAGTCAAAGATGCAAGCCGGGAAGTTCATCACAGGGTTTAGGGTTTAGGATTTAAGGCTCAGGATTTGGGATCAGGGTTTAGGGTTCAGGGTGACGGCTTTACGTTTTTTTTTTTTGTGACGTATAGTCGGCTGGAGATACCCTCGTCATGGGCCGCACCCATGCAAACCACTTACTGTTGCCGACGAAGATTTCGAGGCACCCCTCCCGCTCCCCCCATCGAACCGCGTCCCTGACGACTTGAAATCTAGTCAAGAATCCAGGATTCAAGACTTCCAGGTCAACGCATTGGGTGTCGGGTTTGGGGTTTTACGGTTCAGGTTTTAGGGTATCATTTCCCAAAATCCCCAAACCCTAAACCCTAAACCCTAAACCGGGCAGCAAGAACATGCCGCGCCCCACGCCGAAGCTCCAAACCACCAACCCGAAGCAAAGTCTCAGCCGAGCCTCTGCCAACTAAGACCTGTCTGACTGATTAAATCTAATGTAGGAGCCTTAATAATGAAAAGAATAGGACTTGGGGTGAAAATATGATAAATCTAGTATAATATACCCCAAACCTATTCTAATCATTATGGCCTAAACCGTAAACCCTAAACCCCCCGATATTAAATCTAAGACCCTCCCATAGCACCGAGGTGAAGAACTGGAACCGATGTCAGCCCAGACCCCTGGCCGGGGGATCGCGCGTCTTCGTTGGGAGCTCAGGGTTTAGAGGTTCAGGGTTCAGCG